CCTTGCTTCCTTGCTTCCTTGCTTCCTTGCTTCCTTGCTTCCTTGCTTGCTTGCTTGCTTCCTCCCTTCTCCTGCTTCTTTCCCACGCTCTGCATAGCAATTAGCCTTGTACACTCTTGATATCCATTACTCTAAAATACTTATTTATTTACTACAATTTACCCGATAACTTCTTCATAACTCCATTAGCATAGCAAACAGTAAATTAAAAAAAGAACATGGGACTCTAGCAGTTGTGAACTGAGGTGTGTCGTGTTCTGATGAGAAACACGCTAATTTTTCTGCCTGGAATTCGCGCATTCCTCGGCTATAAATAACGAAACCTTGCCATGATTCGGCACAATTTGAAGACCTCTGCATTTGACTCTCAAGAAGACCATCGCACCTTACTACCATCAAAATGGGAGCCCTGAAACTTCTGGTACTCTTGGTAGTCGTGGCTTGTGTTGCCTGTACTTCTTTTGATTTGGCAAAACTGGTAAGACATCCTTTTTCTAATATTGTAGTTGTTTTTTTTTTGAACTAATAAAGTTCAGTATTTCATATATGTGAAATGATTTTCAAAACATCTTTTCGCGCTCAGAGACACGATATTGTATATCAATGAACCTCGATTACTTCGGAATAGTAGCTCGTTGGAGCTTGCACGGGCCCTGAGATTGGAAGCGTGCGCCCAACAATATGGATATATTTAAAGCTGCACTCCAACATATCTCGATGCAATCAATGATCAATCTGACGATGTTGTTCACTTGAGGAAAAACTAAAACTTTTCTCTTAATGCTTGTATAACTCTAGAAAAAGAAGTCGTTGTCCAAGACTTTGAAGACTCAAGGTATTTCTCAATGTAGTCATAATATTTTATATTATTATATTCTTTAATTCTTGTACCTCTTTACAATTTTACTGGACTGGTATTCCAGTGTTGCTGGAGTGTAGCCCGTGCATGCGTAGGAATATTGTGTCCCCACACGGCTGTCTACCACGAGAGTTTTCTAGTTCCTCTCGGCCAGCACAATAACACAGGTTGTCAATGGAGTAACACTGATACTAATAAAGTTTTTTATCTGTAGTACACACCAGAGCCAGGAGATCCCTGTACGAGTTTTACCAGATGATCAAGTGTGAGACTGGAAGGGACTGGCAGGATTACAACCTGTATGGGTGCTTCTGTGGGAAAGGTGGAAAGGGCACCCCTGTGGACGCTCTCGACCAGTAAGTTTCTTTCGTCTCTCTCTCTCTGTGTCTTTCTCTCTCTCTCTCAAAAATGGTTCCTACACGAGCTCCCCTTAGTTACCGTTACTATGTCCCTCAGTTAAGCTACAAATGATATATCTCAGAAATAAAAACTTTCCTAATAGCTGAAAATTAATTTTTAGAATGAATGTACCTATATCATTCAATTTTACTTCCATTCGTTTGAATCCCACTGCCTTTTATCTCTTGTTGTCAGGTGTTGCTTTGACCACGATGAGTGTTACGACAGGGCAGCAGCTACTGTTTGTACCTGGCCTTACCAGATATACCTGGACTCGTACTGGCACAAGAACTGCAGTGAATGTGGTAAGACAGCCAGCCCGTCTCTAGCTCCTCATTCTTGTCTTGCTTCCCCTTGCAGCTCGTAAGAATGTTACTCAATTTGGAGGACGTAACAAAAGGTTTCCAATTCTCTGAGGAGTTTGAAATGTTTTTGTTTTGTCCTCCAAATTGAGCTGCTTTGGCTTCACATGCAAGGAGTATATCTATAATTCTTGACTAAAGAGGATTTGATTTATCAAGTCGTGTGCGGGGGGGATGGGGAAGGGATCAAAATCGTGTAGCGTTGTACCGTGTAACAATTCTTATCCAACTCGAGCTGCATTGCCATAGTTACATCAATATATTTCTTCCCGTTTTTGCCAGATATTTTCATATCCATTTAATCAAACTTGCAATAAGATTTACATTCTTTCATTACAAAGTGTCAATTCCATAGGCCCGTGCCCTTGAATATTTTGGGCTTTGTGACAAAGTCATGGTAACACTTTGATTGACGTTTTAGCATCCACCAAAACTCTATTTCGTGGCAACGGCAAACTGGTACAATTCCGCGCGTGTAATTGGTAAAGCACTGCAATACAATACAAGGCGTGCCTACCAACGCCTTTATACCGTTGCCTGATCCGAACCATTAATAAATAAAATTCTGCTATCGTTTTCTCAGACGCTTCTAAGAACACCGCCTGTGAACAAGCCTTGTGCGAGTGTGACAGCAGAGCAGCCAAATGCTTCAAAAACAGCAAATGGGATCAACAATACGATGACTACCCTCAAGACAAGTGCGCGTGATGTGCACGTGACTATGACGTCATTTAGTCCACGTGATACGAAAACACATGAATAATAATAATGGATAGCAAACGACTGGATTTGCTTTGTTAGTTCTTATGCCGATATATGTATGTTGGTGTATTGAAGAAAATAAACAAAATAGCAAAATACTTCCAGATATCTCGCTGTCTATCTTATGAGATTCGAGAATCCTCGATTTTCTATTGGACCAAAAACTTGGCAGTGATTTGTTTTTTAATGTTTTTTATTTCTTAATTTTTTTAAGGGGAATACAGAGTTACAAAAATACAACTACAAATAGTTTAGCCTACACTATTACATAAATACATCACAATACTTTGAAAACTAAAAGTTAGAATAGTTAGAAAACTAAAAGGCGTAGACAGCAGTCACACAACAGAAATCTCCTTCTATGACATCGCTTATTTCCCCCGCCATGTATGAAGGAAGGGCCACATGAACAAACCTCTTGAGTCAAATCATTTTCAACACGAACTGATTACGAAAAATATTTTTCTTTATTCGATATGATCATGTCACATTTCTCAATCTGCTATCGCTTGATCTACACATTTTGATTGTGAATAACGTTTATTGGCGTCGTTGAACTTTGCTTTGGCGAAGCACTTGACAGCGACGCTGTCACACTCACATACAGCCTGTTCGCAGGCATTGTTTTGCTGTTTATCTGGGGAAAAACGATACACAAGTCAATGGAGTTTGAAGTGTTTGTAATCGATCTCTAGTGCATATTCACTCGATAGTTGTTATTGGGTTGAGCCAACAGTCGAGTAGGCCACATTTTGGAGTGGATATATGACGTCATAGCCGCCATGATGATTTTTTTAACAGCTCTATTGGGAAACTAATATTACAATGTGTTGAATAGAAAAACTAAAAGTTACCCATAAAGGAAAGTCACGAACTTAACGGGACACGAGACCCATGCAAGGTGACCACCTCATGAAATGACAATAGCAAAGCATTAGCTTCTCTTGTTAGATCAACCATTCAACATGGCGGGCGTTTCGTTAAGCTATTCATATTATACTTCTCATAAATTGAGTCATGAGTTTTGAGTCACCCCAAGACTTATCCTGTTATCATTACCACAGTCTGAACATCCTTTCCTGGTGTAGATAGTTGTGTAAGCTGCTCCCATGTAACTACATTTACCGGACCGATGGACATCGTAATAACACTTATCATGTTCCTTACAACACCTAGTTAAAATAAATTGTAAGAAAGGTCGATAAACACAGGTGGTCGAGTTACAGGTTTAAATGTGGGTCACCACCAATGTCGGTTTGCAGAATTAAGTTCTGTAGTCGATTTACAGAGGTGGTCGGATGCTTTAGGCGGTTGGATTACAGGGTCGTATTACTTACTTGTCCGTCTCATCGATTGGGGTTCCTTTGCCTCCCGGTCCGCACCAACATCCATAGCCGAGATAGTCTGAGGCCCAACGGTTTGTTTCACAATGAATCATCAGACCAAACTGCCATAAGTTGCGCTTTGTCCTGGTGACTTGTTGACAAAGATGTTTCATTTAGTACTTCAATCTGTGATATCCAAGTAGTCTTGTGTCACACCTATCACTATTTAGTGTATATATTTTTTTTATTATCTTTGAACTCGCTACGATTCTGCAACTGGCAAACACTTATTTCAAAAACCATTTGAAATAAGTTTTTGTTTTTAGAGTGTGTGTTGTTGTTTTTTAATGGGTGTAAATAAAAATGGAAAACAAACAATATAAGAGGGGTAGGGGGAGTGAAACCATTCAGTTCAGTACGGAAGCTATTTGAATGCACTGAAAACCGTACACGTACRAATGCTAAACTTTTCAATTAACTTCGCTGAAAATCCGATCAGTACGTACGTATCTTTGCCTATGTTGGCAACCTTTGACTGTTAACACCAAATGAAACCATGAAATAGTAACGGGAAGCCATTTCAAGACTGATGTAATGTAACGAATCTCTTCGTAACATGGGAAGCCATTTCAGTGTTCATTAACTCGTTTCGTCAAACAATCTACACATTTCAGGGTTCCATCAAAGAAAAATAATTTTAAAAATACCTTTTTCATGCTGTGCAGTCTGCAAAAWATATATATATAAATAAATAAATTATCATTATAAATAATATTAGGACCAGTCCAGGGAGATCGTAATTTCCTTTTTCAAATAGAATTGCATTTTCACAGTTAAATAAAAATAATTTTTAAACAATTATTTGTCTATCTTCACGATTATTAATCTATCCCCACCTGTCCATTTTGGCCGGGAAAACCAGAACAAAAACCAGATAAGAAGATAGCTAGAAGAACAGGAGCAATGATTATAGCTCTATTCATTGTCGATAATTCAACCGCTGGGCGATCTCCACTGATTTTCTCCGATGTTCACTTAGTTTTATACAAATTTTACTGATTCCGTTTGAACAGATGAATAAACTGCTCGTAGTACTTATTTATTATCTATGTACAGTCGCTAACTCATATAGATTAAACCTTGTCAAAAATGTGATGATTTTTAAGGGCATTTTACAAAGAGTGAGATTTCATGCGTTGAATTGAATGCATTCTTTTTGGTGGTTTCTTGTGTCGTTGGTCGATGACCCTAAGCTGTTGTACCTGTGCATATTCAAACAAGGTTAAACGAATTTGTTATATAATTTAAGCAGGACATGCACGTTTTATTGTAGTATTAGTGTAAATGTAACTGAAATTATGGATATTTGAGTTTAACACAAACTATTTAATGCGGCACCGCAAGTCAAAACAAATGACTCAATTAAAATAATAATAATAATAATAAATAAATGAAAATCAGCGAGCGAGCAATAACACAAAAATGGAATACTGTATATCTGAAAAATTACATTACACACAACATCCAACGACTTTGTATGTATTTTAAGAGATGGTTTTCATTCACGGCCTTCCGATAAAAAACTATGAACAAAAATACCAATAATTTTATTCGCGATAAAAAGTTTAAACTTAAAAAATAATGCACGTGAAAAATGTAATCTAAACCCAGCCTTGAACAATTTTCTGCACAGCGAACTGATCGATGTTTTTATCAAATGACTTTTTTAAATATTTTGCTATTAGTATAGATTTAGTTTTTATATATTTTTTACATTTATGTTACTGCGCAAATGAAAATACCCCAATTGAGATTTGCGCTATACAAATTCAATACATTATTATTATTAATTATTATTATTTTTTATGGTAAGATAGAAATGTTCACACATTCAGGGTAGCCTCGTTATAGACTTCTAACATTTCTTTTATTTACCAAACGGTTGCACGAGAACCTTTTTGCTATTTGTTTATTCAGGTTTCACATAGAGTATTTTCCCTCCATTTACTGGGAATACCACACGTGTAGGACTGACGTCAACACCTCTTGATGTGAGCACATTTGAGTAGTTAATGTTTGAGATTTTCACAGCTGAATAAACTAAAGAAAAGTTCGTTGATGATGTTCAACCTCTCAAGACCACTATGGAGATAGTTGTGTCTTTGCCGCAAGGGAAGCCGAAAATGTTCAAATGTTTCCGAAAAATAACCAAAATTTTGAAATGAGCTGAATTGAAATGTTCGATACATCTTTGTTAGGCCTAGGTCAAACGTCGGACTTCTCATGAGCCGAACCTAATCACATCAAGGAAGACCACCTTGTTATCTATTGTTTCAATTAGGTTCGGCTCATGTAAAGTTCGACGTTTGACCTGAGCCTCAAGGAATATTATGCGCTTAATTCTTTTAAGCTTTATATTGATTTGTTTTCACTCCAGCGAGTTTCTCTATATCTGTACGTGCAGAGTAAACGAAAGACTCTTGGTGAAAATATAAGCACGATTTTAAAAAGGTTTGAGTAAAGTGGTCCTTTTTTATAGGCTTAACTTTTTTTATGTCCAGCGCGCAGTGGCTGCAGTTGCTTTATAATGTTAGACGAGTTATTGAAAATAACTTATCAAAACCATACGCCTCCTGTAGCTAAATCTGTAACACTGTAAAAATGTTTCTACACTGGGTTACCTCAGTGGTATTTCTTCTAAACATAGCGTCTGTTACTTAAGTACAGTAATATAATGTGTTTACCTAAAATAATATTGCGAAAATAAAACCACTTTTAAAAATTCAGCTTCGGTTTCACACAGGCATTTTGTTTTGCTTTTAACGTTGAAGTTAAAACAAACAAACCTTTTTGGATTGATTTATCGGTGTTTATCTCGCGCCGAATATAATAGAAAACAAACAAACAAACGCATTAGCTAGGGAACTATCACGAAAATAGATAATAGAAGAACAAAGGAAAAGAATGAAGGTGAAAAGATAGAAATGTGAAGGATTAGGAAAATAAAACTCCTGAATATTGGAAATTTGAAAATAGAACTGGGAAAGTTAAAAGGAAGAATATAAGGATAATGGGATTGAATTGAAAGATGGGAATAAGAGACAGGGAGATGAGAGAAACGAAAAAATGAATAAATAAACATCAATAAAATTGAAATTCCTTTCAAAGATTCTTTCTCATTAAATTTTTTTCCTTCCACTTCCAAGGATTTTACATAAGGTAGCTTTTATTTTAGGAGAAATCAAATAATATATGTATTGGCTTTGCTCAAGTAGTTCAAGTAGTTCGCAATGTTAGCGTTATAGTGTAAACTTGTCGTGGAAAAGATACGGAACGGTGTAATATGAAAACTCGACAAACACATTAATCATTATTTTTATTTTTATTTTATTTTTTCGCCGCTTGACAGTTACTATGAAAGTATTTGATAACTTGCACACTTTAAATAAATATTCAGCGCTGCCTTAGGCAGATGTCTGTTTGCTTTGAGTTGCTTCTTGGATAATAAAAAGAGAAAATAAAGCTGACGCTTGCAGTAGAATTTGACTAGAGCAGGTGACACTGGATGAGAGAAGATGCTGTACAGATTTGCATTGTGTTTCTTGTTTCTAACTGCTGTTTCACATGCTAAACCTAAGCTCAAGGTACGTGTTACAATCTGCTTCTTGTACGAATGTTAAGTTTTATTTGCAATATTTAAAAAGAGGAATTAAGACTATGCTTTATTTATTTTTTTCATAAGATGTGTTAAGTAAGTGAGATTGAGACGGGTCAGTTGGTTTAACAAACTAATATACTCGGAAATTGGAAATGGGAACTGCTTTAAATCTGCAAGCGCTAAAATTATATGGATACCCCTGAAAAAACCTCTTGGCTGATATAAGTCAGGGCACGGCTAACTCACAGATAGAACCCTGAAACAACCTCTGGGCTGATATAAGTCAGGGCATGGCTAACTCACAGATAGAACCCTGGAACAACCTCTGGGCTGATCTATGTCAGGGCACGGCTAACTCACAGATAGAACCCTGAAACAAGCTCTGAGCTGATCAAAGTCAGGGCACAGGTAATGCACAGATCAAACTTGAAGTTAGGGTGATCAAACTCCTAGGGTTATATTATGTTTACTGGTAAAAGAAACCCGCAAAAGACTTGTCCCTATAGCGCGAGGGTCACCCTAGTGTCTATGAAAAGACCTTTTAGCCTCTCTCACGAAAAAATAAAATCAAAGATTTTCTCTATGTCGTATAGGAGAGCGAAGATGAAGGGAAGCTTGTATCTCCTGAACGAGGACTTGCAGACTTTGGTTTGATGATTTTGTGTGGTACAGGAAGAAACCCTTTTGATTACAATGGATATGGTTGCTATTGTGGATTTGACGGCCATGGGAATCCTGTGGACGATGTGGACAGGTAACGAACGAGAGAGAGAGAGAGTGAATGAATGACCTTCAAAATTGTGGTTCCAATTAACCGACAAAAGCCTTTCATTCATATTATAACAGATAATGTCTTCTGTACTTTACAATTTAATCTATAATTACATGTATATTATTTCAGAGAAAGGTGATTGCAATAATACGTTTACACTGCGGAAGTTGCATCCAGGAAGTATAATTAATGGCCATATTCATTATTAACTTGTTATTTTTAATTGTAGGTGCTGTCAAGCACATGATCGTTGTTACGATAGAGTGAAGGCGTCTGGCGTTTGTCCTTTCGGTGTTGCTGCGTACACCTTCCCATACAAGACAACTGAATGTACTGGATGCAGTAAGTACTATCTCTCTCTCTCTTTTGTTCTATCCCCTCCCCCCTCCCCCTCCCCCTCCTCTCTCTCTCTCTCTCTCAAAACTACGAATGGACTCGGTAGGATAGCTTGCTGGCAGGAAAAAGAGGGGAAGAGGGGAAGAGGGAAAGAGGGAAAGAGGGAAAGAGGGAAAGAGGGAAAGAGGGGAAGTTTATGAAACTTACGCTTAACAAAAGGTCAACAAA